TAATTATAATTTATTTAAAAAATAAATAAAATTTTAAATAAAAAATAAAAAAGTACATAGTCATCGTAACTTTCAAAATAAATTAGAATTTCATTTTTAAATTACATTTATTTTATTTAATTAAAACTTAATTTAAAATTTAAAAATCTATCTTATTAAATATCTATTTGGTATAATCGTTAAAATTCAGATAGTAAATAATAAATAATAAATAGTAAATAATAAGTGACGATTAGCGGATAGTTGAAAACAAATAATAAAAAATAGGTATCAAATAATTGATAATAGTTTGATTAATATAATTATTTAGTTATATAATAATTAGTGATTATTATTTAAAATAAAATGATTGATAAAGATATAATTAACAACAACTAAGTATATATTTTTATGTTTTTTATTATTAAAATTATTAATTTTATAAAATAACAATAAACATAAATAAATAAATTATAATTTTTTTTTGGTACATCAGCAATGAAAACTAGATTAACGCCAAGAAGAAACTAAGAATAGAGGAAACAAGCCCCCAGCTGATCACCTAAGAGGATATAGGCAATAGACCACATGGTGGGGAATTGAGTATACTTAAACCCGATTGTGATGAATGACCAAGGGAAGCCAAGTAATCTGCCGCAGCATTCTTTTCCCTTAGGATGTGATGCACTGTACAGGCTTTAAACTCCAACATCAAACTTTTAATATCCAACAAGATAGCCACAGATAAATTATCTACCTCCCTATCTTCATAGATGAAGCGAACAGCCATTTGGGAATCCATTTCTGCTGCAACCGTCGGTATACCAAGAGATTTGCAAAGCCTGAGCCCTTCCCTCAAACCCCAAAGTTCTGCAACAAAAATGGAAGTATGGCCCACATTGACAATAAAACCAGAAACCCAGTTCCCAACGGAATCCCGAATCAACCCTTCTGCACTAGCAGAATTTGTAGCAAGGGAACAGGATCCATCAGTATTCAATTTATGCCATCCCTCAACAGGTGGTGTCCAACTCCGCCAACAAGGCTGCCGAGACCTTACCGAAAACAGAGGATGCATGGCAAGCTCCGTACATATAAATAAATTATAATAATAAAATTATACACTACTTTTTATTTTTAATAAAAAATTATATTAGTTTTAAATAAAATATAAAAAATTTAATCTTTCATCTAAATAGTAAATTATGTTTATTAAGTTGAATTTTTTATTTATAAATTAATGAACTTAACATCTTTAAATAAAAAAAATGTAAAATTCACATTCTTATTTACACCATTTCTCATGCTTTCATAATTCAATTAAATCAGATAGAGATTTTATGAAGCAGAAAATTCATGGATATTATAGAAGTCAAGCTGAAATTAAAGCAACAATGTATCTAATATAATTATTTATAAACAGGAGAAATCGTCAACCAATTATAAACAACAGAAGCAAATTGAAAACCCTAATCGAGCCTGATTTATCGTAAAGGACAAGTTAAAAAGCATGAAAGTAGGAGTAATGAAAAATAATACAAACCGAGTACAAAGGAAGAAAGAAGAGTTATTTAGTGGATTTCTCGTTTTTGGAGGTGTAAAAATTGTGGGGAAAATAATAAATAATGATCTTTTTTTCATGTAGCAGCTAAAATTGGTTTAAAATGCAGTTTTAAATTTTTCTTAGAGAACATGGAAATGAGATTTAGTTGAAGAGTCGATCATTCAACTAGGGTTGGTTCAATGTGTCTATTTTGGTTTCAAGGTACAATTAATTAAGTTTTCATAAAAGAGAGTAACATGCCACATGTTTCTGCAAGAAACTCATTTTTCCAGCCCGGATGAGTCAGGACCAATTGCCT